TTAGTAGGGACCTAGATCAGAAGTGGAGCAGCTGGGGGTAGAACTGGTGCTTTTATGGGGTACTGGCATCATAAGCAGCACAACAATGCTGGCCCTGACTTTGATATTTTTTAAAAAGTATAAGTCATTAAATTTGTAGGTTATGTGGGTTTTATGATGTCTCTGGATTTATGCATTTTTTGCAGGTTTCCTCCTGAAATGAAGTTGTGCTCAGGATATAATAGAGACCCACAGTATTCATTTGCTCTATTTCCATTTAGGTTTGCTTTGATCACTTTAAGATTCTATTTGCCAGGTTTCTCCACCCTAGTAAGTATCATGTAATAATAAATCTGTAAGTAATTTATAACTTATTTGTGGGGAAGTATTTTGAGACTAGTCAGTTAATTTCTCTTATTCACACCTGTTCTGTTCTGTAAAACCACCATGAACATGGAGTCAATGCATACAAAAGCACTATTCCCAGAACAGATACAGGGTTGAGTCCCTGACAGACTCATCGTAACTGTCGACCAGTCAGGGCTTAATCTTGCTTTACATGCACTTTGATTTAAAGACTCTTTATTTAATACACGATGTTGATTCACTGACATTGAATTCTTGGTCAAGAGTACTGCAACCCATGCCTGAGTGAGGCACTGTCTAACACATGTAGTTTCTCCACAAGACACCTCTTAGCCTCCTGTGCTTATCAACACCAGGCAACATTGCAGCAGCATGCTTGGGAGGGCATTTAGAACCATGAAGTTACTAATAGAAAGCACAGCAAAGAGAGGTATGTGGGAATATGTTATCAGAAGGACCCTTGTTTATACTATGGAAACTGAAATAAGAATGCACAATGACACCTTGTTTCACTTCAGCTAGGAACGGGCTAGTCAGAAGACTGAAAATTTTTGCTGGTCTGTGCATGACTACAAATGTCCTGCGAATATTAATTTTGAGGTTATCAATTAATTTAAACAAATGGGCAAATTAGCATATACAAAGTTCAGGAATAATTGAGGATCAGTCATCTCTTGTTCCTGTTAGACTTTCTCTTGTCAGTTTTGGCATCATTGAGTCATTGTCCTAGTTGGTTGTTGAGAATCTGCCAAGCTGTCTTCTGTGTGCTCCTGACATGGCCCCAGCATTCCATGAGCAACTCTTTACTTTCTTGTGCAACAGGATCTTCTAGGTGCATCTTGTATTTTCTCCATCGCAACTCTGAAGTTAGACATTTCACCAAGGAGCTCTCATTCCATTTAGTGGAAAATGGCTCTGAGTAACCAAGAACTGGGTGTTAGATGTGCTAATTCCTACTGGGGTGCCATTATTTCTAAGCCCTGTTAACAGACAGAATTGCGAAATATGTGTGTATGCATACACATGAAAACTGATCACTTACACATCCTCTCTTATCTGTCATCTCTCTTCCTCTATCAATCCATCCATCCATCCATCCATCCATCTACCCATCATCTATTATTTTATGTACTTATTTAACCACCTGGCTAAACCTTGAATACATACTAATACCTCCAGTTCCAGTCTCTGACAATCCATTGTCTCTATTTCCATGTTTGTAATTTTCTTCTTTGGCAGTTGGAAAACTATCTTCTACACCTTTCAATGTATTTAGTTGCATATGTGAAAAAATACCCACTGCCACCAGCAGTCTTGGATACTCTGGTCTCTATCCCTGCAGGGCATGTAGGGTGAAACTTTAGCCTCAACAAAGAGAAAGGAGGAGGGGGAAGAAAGAAGGAGGCTCACTTAAAGTTGTTGAAAAATATGGATTTTAGCTAAATTCTTCCTAAATAACAGCAGAATTTTTTAATGAAAGAAAATAAACAGCCATCATATATATTTTTAGTTACTTTTGAAATTAGAAGCCTACTTTATCATGCCAAATGAATCTAAAATAAACAGTCTAATATAGCGCTGTCTCTTAAAATATTCATGTGATGCTTATGTTGTCTTCTTATATTAAAATTTATTTTCTATTTTCTCCAGATGTTTTAGATTCAGCACACTGGCTTTCAACATAGGAGCTAAATTTAATTTGAATCTTTAATTGTTGATGGAGAATTTTAACTTTCAAATTTTGAATTCAATATTTATATTTATTTATTTATTTATTTTACACGAAAACTTTTTATTTAAGGTATACAAACATCATGCCTTTCATAAATACAAATTTAGGAACACAGTGATTCCTCCCTCCCATCCCACCCTCCCACTCTTCTTCGTCCCTCTCCTATTCCCATTCTTATTTTTTACTAAGATCTATTTTCAGTTAACTTTATACACATAACATTAACCCTATACTAAGTAAAGAGTTCAACAAATAATATGAAAAAAACAAAAAACTGTTCCTCAATATTTGAGACAAGGCTTGTTCAAAGTTAGCACAGCGTAGAGTCAATGTCACTTCTATAGATTATCTTTTAGGTACTCTTTTAGTTACCACAGATCAGGGAGAACATATAGTATTTGTCCTTTTGGGACTGACTTATTTCACTAAGTATAATGTTTTCCAGTTGCATTCATTTTGTTGCAAATGACAGGATTTAATTTATTTTTTTACTGCTGTGTAGTATCCCATGGTGTATATATGCCATAGTTTCTTTATCTGGTCTTCAGTTGATGGACATTTGGGTTGATTGCATATCTTAACTATTATAACTTGAGCAACAATAAACATGGAGGTACTGATAGCTCTTTCATATGCTGACTTCATTTCCTTTGGGTAAATTCCCAAGGGTGGGATGGCTGGGTCATATGGTGGGTCTATATTCAGATTCCTGAGGAATCTCCAGACTGTCTTCTGCAGTCACTGTACCAGTTTACATTCCCAACAGTGGATTAGGGTACCTTTTCCCCCACATCCTTGCTAGCATTTGCTGTTTGTTGATTTCTGTATGAAAGCCATTCTAATGGGGGTGAGGTGAAACCTCATTGTGGTTTTGATTTGCATTTCCCTGATGGCTAATGATCCTGAGCATTTTTTCATGTGTCTGTTGGCTGTTTGTATTTCCTCTTTTGAAAAATGGCTGTTTAAATTGGATTTAATGTTTTATTTACAGTGTTTACAATAGAATAGAGGATAATTTAATGAAGTACTTTAATTATGTTTTCCTATGGTGTATTTAAAACATGTTAAAAAAATCAAGTCTGCATCTTAACCTTCCTTTTAAAATGTTATTTGACACTGGAAAAATTATTTGACACATTAAATTTAATTTGAATTTTAAAATGATAATAGCAAATGTTCTTAATTTTTTTAGGTTTTTAAATTTTGATGATAGGAGGCTAAGAATTATAGCTTTTGTAAAAGTTGTTAATTTTAATGAAACAGCTTTATTATGTTAGAGCAAAGTAGTATAATCTTTGAGATGACTATATTCTTAAACATAATGCAATGTTTACTTTTTCCATGAGGATATGTGAAAATTGTATAAATGTCCTTTGATTCAAGTTATAAACATGCAAAAACACAAAAGTATAAACACATGAGTCTTCTTTTTTTTAAAAGATATATTTTATTTATTTGAAAGGCAGAGTTACAGAAAGGGAGAGGCAGAGAGAGAGAGAGAGAGAGAGAGAGAGAGAGAGGTCTTCCATCCGCAGGTTCACTCCACAAATGGCCGCAACAGTCAGAGCTGAGTTGATCTGAAGACAGGAGCCAAGAATCTCCTCCAGGTCTTCACATAGGTTCAGGGGCCCAAGGACTTGGGCCATCTTTTTCTGCTTTCCCAGGCCATAGCAGAGACCTGGATCGGAAGTGGAGCAGCTAAACTGGCACCCATATGGGATGCTGGCACTGCAGGCGGTGTCTTTACCTGCTATACCAGAGAGCCAGCCCCATGAGTCTTTTTTTATTCCTCTCTCAATTTTCATAGAGATCAAACCCTTAATAGTTTGGTGTGATATATATTGAGAAGTATACATTTGACCACACATAAATACTATATTTTGGTCTGTTTGTTCTTTATTTTAGTTACACACACACACACTCTACTTGTGTGTGTTTCTGTGGCCTGATTTATTTACTAACAAAAAATACTTCTTGGAGTTATTTTATGCCAGTACATGCACCTCTATTTCATTTTTAACTACCATATACAATTCTATCATATGGTTAGGCCATAATTTATTTAAACATTTCCCATTGATGGACATTTAAGTATTTTCTCCCAATTTTTTCTGCTACACCCAAACTACAATGACATTACTTGCACCTGTGTCTTGAAGCATATTTGTGGCAAGTTCTGTGAAATAAATCTGAACTCAGGAATGAAACTTTTCTCTCTTCCTTGTGGGGGCAGCCCTGTAGATGCTGAAGTCCCACCTCTGAGTTCTCCTTCCCCATGAACTCTCAGGACTTTTTGTTTTCCAATTCAAAGTCCTTAGCAATGTCTGAGAAGTTGGCCTCGTCCCTCTTGGCTTTTCTAGCAATGATTATTTCCTGTTTCATGATGAGTCTGGAAGATCAGATCTCTGACATTATGTGCCCATTCCCTTCCCTGTGGGCAGTGGCAGTGCAGGGTCAGGGCTGGGTCAGCTCACAAGTGCATCTTCCCAGGGGAGTGGTGGTTGGGTGAAGTGGAAACTATAATTAAGGATTGTTTTGCAGGTCCTCTTACGTTTAGTAGACTTTGGATCCTAACAGAGAGTAACATGGTTTATTCAATGAAAAATTCAAGTAATTACTTAACAGTTTTTAAAACAGTAGTGACAGCTTGGGTATTACTTGTCAGGATGTTTGTGTGTGGGTATGTTTTTAGATACTTTATTTAATTTCCTTACCCTGGTATAAAGTTTAAGAAAAAAAAAGTCATAAAAATTGATTTAATAAAGGAGATGCTTCTAAATGTCATCAGATCTTTCTATTTTTATTTTCTTGTGGCAAATGTTGCCAAATGGCTATTTCCAGTTCATTTCTAAAACAGTTCAGTTTTATTTTGTTTTCCATCCATTGTTTATAACATTCATTTGTCATTTTTGTCATTTTGTAGACCTACCAAGAGCAGCTGTCAGGATCTTAAGCAACATGACATTCCTTTTTGTGAGTTTGTCATACACAGCTGAGAGTGCCATTGTAACTGCTTTCATTACCTTCATTCCCAAGTTCATCGAGTCACAGTTTGGTATCCCAGCTTCCAATGCCAGCATCTACACTGGTAAGGCACTGCCTCTAGGGCTACTTACAAACATGGTCCTTTTGATCACTAAACTGAAATGGAATGAGTGACAACAAAGTGCAATCTAACATCAGAGTGTTAAGTTCATTAACAGTTACCTTTCCCCCAGATTTTATGAGGAGGAAATCCTGGAATGTGTTCTCTTTGAATCAGATTGTGTTACCATGTGGCATATTTACCAACTGTGTTTTGGAAAGGGAGATGGTTCTCAGCTTAAAAAATGAAAGAAGCATTGACATTCAAATGTAAATCTCAATATACCTTTTCAAGGGTTGGTGTGAGTCTCAAAGTGTTGAAGTTAAAAACATTGATAACCTGAAATATAGATCAGTTCATTGCAATTAAGGTTTTCCCTTTAAAAACGTGAAGAGCTTTTATTTAAATTACCTGAAATGCTTAAAGTTAAAAAAGAAATTTTATGAATTTTATTTTAGGTGATGTATGTATGGACAAGCTGATTTTTAGGAGTCTTCAATGCATGCATTCATACTGCTGAGTACTCGAAACTTCTTTCGTCGGAAGTTGGATATCTAAAAATATGGGAACATTAGTTCTCAGATGCTGAAAGAATTTTCAGTGTACTGTCATGCGATATTCTGGATATTTCCTTAGTGGTATCAAAGATAGCCAAATGACTATGTCTTTTTGAAGGGCCAGTTTATTAATAAAGTCTATTCATATAGTTGAAATGAATTTAGATAGTAAAGAATGATGATAGCCTTTCAGATGACTTAGGCTCCTCCCTTTCCAATTTCATACTCAAGTCCGGGAAGCTTGAATTACTTGGAAATGACTAGGCAAAATTCTGTGGCTGTAGACAGAGAAGTTGATTTCCAAGGTGTAAGTAGTCACTCTATTCTGCACTTCATCTTGCACATAACATAGAAAGACTGGAATTGGGTTGTGAGTCCACAGTAGCAAATATTTTTATAAAGAATATACTGCTGTCGACTATTGTCATGTGACCCAAAATGGTTTTTTTCTCTATCTTGGCTAAAAAAAAATGTGTTTTCTTTTATTAACATAAAATTTCCAGATTATTTTGCAGTGTGATGCCAGGAAACCTAAACTTCTCATTTCTACTTGACTCTTCCACTGGCCCTTTTTTGAACAGTGACTCTTGGACAGGGAAAGTGAAAGCTGCTTACTAGATTATGGCTATAAGTATGAAGCAGTCTCAAGTGTTCCCCAAATTAAGTTTTGATGTTGGAAGGTGTTCTGGGAACGAATGTTGTAGTTGGATAAACTGGAATTAAACAAAGTTTTATGGGGTTCTCTACTTCTGGTCTGTTCGTCAGCCTTGCTATGTCCAGTGTGCATGGTATTTTCCAGAGGAAGGTTCTTACTACAGTCTTTTCCAAGTTTGACCATGAATCCCAATTGTTTTGGAGGTGTCTTTCTCATGGAAGGGCACCTCTCAGGACCCACACAGGGAAGCCATCCTCTGTGTATCCCCTGTTCCAGTCAGACTAGGGAGCAGAGCTGTCTGGATCACCCATTTCCCTCCAGATGTGTCCTTTGGATCCCCAGGTTACTGCACAGTGGGACAGTGATAAGCTGGGGAGAAATTGATGTGTCTTGAATGCATGTTGACTAAAGCTGTCTCAAAATGACTGATAGAGACAGAGGTTCGATAGACAACACCTATGGAAAACATGGGGTGAACAGTGCAGCTGGACCTGGGACTTTTGACTGCAGTTCCCTTGTGGTGTGGTTGGGATAGCAGTCCCCAGATGTGGCCCACCTGGCCAGGAGAGTGCATTACTGGGAAAGCCTAATTCACAGGATGTATGTACCCCCTACTTTCTCTTTCTCTAAATACAAATTTATTTATTTATTTTCATTGTTTGGAAGTCAAGAGAGAGTGGGAGAGGATGAAATTCCGTTAGCTACTTCATTCCTCAGATGCCTGCAACAGCTGGGGCTTGGCCAGGCTGAAGCCAGGAGCCTGGAACTCAATCTGAGTCTTCCAGGTGTGTGGCAGGGACCCAACTACTTGGGCCATTACTGCTGCCTCTCGGGGTGTGCATTAGTAGGAAAGTGGAATTAGAAGCAGAGCTAGGACTTGAACCCAAGCCTTCCAATATGGGATGTGGTATCCCAAACAGCATCTTAACCTGCCCCAACCCTGTGCTTTAATATCTGAATTAAAGAAGCCATGTCTCAGAGTGCCAGTTCCATTCTGGTTTTGTCATTAACAACTCTTTTATTTTGATAAAATATTTGTATTCCCAGCTAATACTTTTTCTATCTTTATTTTTTTTGTTTTTTTACTTTTATTTAATGAATATAAATTTCCAAAGTACAGCTTATGGATTACAATGGCTCCTCCCCCCATAACTTCCCTCCCACCCTCAACCCTCCCCTTTCCCGCTCCCTCTCCCCTTCCATTCACATCAAGTTTCATTTTTAATTCTCTTTATATACAGAAGATCAGTTTAGTATATATTAAGTAAAGATTTCAACAGTTTGCACCCACATAGAAACACAAAGTGAAAAATACTGTTTGAGTACTCGTTATAGCATTAAATCACAATGTACAGCACATTAAGGGCAGAGATCCTACATGAGGAGTAACAGGAGTGACTCCTGTTGTTGACTTAACAAATTGACACTCTTGTTTATGGCCTCAGTAATCACCCTAGGCTCTTGTCATGAGCTGCCAAGGCTAGCCCTTTGAGTTCACTGACTCTGATCATGTTTAGACAAGGTCATAGTCAAAGTGGAAGTTCTCTCCTCCCTTCAGAGAAAGGTACCTCCAGATAAGGGACAGATTGCTTAAGAGTAGAGGGTGGCCTGTTATGTTACAGTAAAATTGAAAAGGGATGGTAAGTCTTTTTATTTATTTGTTTGTTTGTTTATTTATTTGTTATGAAAGCTTTTATTTAATGAATACAAATTTCATAGGTACAGCTTTAGGAATATAGTGGTTCTTCCCCCCATACCTGCCTTCCTACCCTAACTCCCATCCCACCTCCTACTCTCTCTCCCATCCTAGTAAGTCTTTTTAAAACTCCCCTTTGTTTTTTGAATTTTTATCAAGTGAATCCTTCTTTCTCCCTGGGCATTGATTTGTATTTTTAAATTTTTTTAATTTTTATTTTATTTTGTAAAGGATTAATCTATTTATTCAAAAGACAGTTATAGAAAGAGGCGAAGAGAGAGAAAGAGATATATTCCATCTGCTGGTTCACTCTCCAAATGCTACAATTTGAAAGGCAAAGTGACAGAATTAAGGGGACATAGAGAAAGACAGAGAGAAAGAGAGAGAGAGGCTGGCACCGTGGCTCACTAGGCTAATCCTCCGCCTGTGGCGCCAGCACACAGGGTTCTAGTCTCAGTCGGGGCATCGGATTCTGTCCTGGTTGCCCCTCTTCCAGTCCAGCTCTCTGCTATGGCCTGGGAGTGAAGTGGAGGATGGCCCAAGTCCTTGGGTCCTGCACCCGCATGGGAGACCAGGAGAAGCACCTGGCTCCTGGTTTTGGATCAGCGCGGTGCGCCGGCCTCAGTGGCCATTGAGGGGTGAACCAACAGCAAAAGGAAGACCTTTCTCTCTGTCTCTCTCTCACTGTCCACTCTGCCTGTCCAAAAAAAAAAAAAAGAGAGAGAGAGAGAGCACTTCTGTTTGCTGGGTCCCTCCCCAAATGGCCACAAATCCTGGGACTGGGCCAAACCAAAGCCAGGAGCAAGGACTCATCTGGGGCTCCCACAGGGGTGACAGGGGCTTAAGCACTTGGGCCATCTTCTGCTGCTTTTACAGGCCATTAGCAGTTACTGAATTGTAAATGGAGCAGCTGGGACTCTAATCAGAGTTATGAAATGATGATGTTGCAGGCAGCCTAACCTACTACACCATGTCAGCCCCAGTTTTGTATTTTTTTTTTAAAAAAGATTTGCTTAATTGAAGAGCTTTTGTTCATTGAATCCTTTCCTATGCATGTGGAATGCATAGGGTGGAATTAAGACATTTATCTGAGAAACTGAAAAATAGCTTTAATTTTTCATCCGACAAAGTGTTCAAATTATATTTAAAAATTATTTTGACAAATATCTTGACCCTCTATAGCGGATTGCTGTTTGTGTCACATGGGAGAGATGAAGCTCTAGATGGTTCCAGAAGATGGGCTTTCCATCATTTTCTCATTCCCAGGATCACTGAGCACCAGTTCTCTGCAAGGCATGAGGCCTTGTGTGTTGCTGGAAACAGAAAGACCCAAACCAGGCTCTTAGCTCACTTACAGATCAAAGAGAAAAGAGGGAGCTCATACAATAAGTTAGAAAAACCTGTTTAAATAAATTCGTAGAAGACTTGGGCTGCAGAGCTTACTTGGGCAGATGGGGTAGTATGTTTGAGCTGCATTTTATGGAGGCAGTAGCTTTTAAGGAAAAGTTGAATTTGCTCACTTAGAGTTTGGAGGAAAGATCTTTTTTTCCGGTAGAGGATTGGTTTAGCAAATGCAGGAGATGAGGGTAAGGCTTGTTCTAAAAAAAATTAAAGAAGAAGAAAAGACAGTTCACCCCTGGGTTGGAAATAGGAAGGAGGGCCTCTGAAGGCAAGCAGGTGGGTGTGGGAGGGATGCTTTCTGGAATTGGGGGTGGGATCTGCTCAGGGACTTCAGTCCCGCGTGGCTCACTCTGCTGTCATATGGAGGCCCCGTGTCCTGATGGAAGGGAGTTGGTGACCCCAGTGTATGATGAGGATGTCAGTGCGACATGCATAGGCATCACACTTCATTCTTCTAGTGCATGTGTCTGTCCAACAGCAGATCTGGGTCTAGAACATTCTTCCCATTCATGGTCTCCCTGCTAACCCATCTGGGGTCACATTTACTGGATGTAGTTAAAGATTTTTGAAATGGTTATTTCGCAAAAGCCTAAAGTGATGTGAAGACCCCAGAAGGAGGACAGGGACAGCACAACATTGAATCCTGCTGCAGCTGGTAACCAGCTGTGTGACGTGGGACAAGTCACTTACCTCC